GGCAATTCAGTACTGCCAGTACCAGTGCTCCTTCCTTCAGGGGGCAGGGGGACACTCTGGGTGAACACACAGCAACGCGCATGCAGCCCATCCACGTGCTGCCAGATCGCAAGTGGAATGCAAAGACTCACTTAACAGGTTTTAATTTCATACAGTTACTTATCAGCAGTAATATAAATCACTCCTTAGGTGGAAGATTCTTTGGGGGAAAGGAAAACACTAACAAGTCAGGCTTATTTTTCCATAGGTATTTTGGCTTCTATTGTCACATCTGTACCTTATACATCTCCATACATAAAACAGTATTTTTAAAGAAGTTTAATTGTTCTTCGATGCAGCTAAAGGCATAATCCTGAGGAATAATTACACAAGAAACATTATACTTTTGATGAAATATTAAACTTAAGGAAAACACTAACAAGTCAGGCTTATTTTTCCATAGGTATTTTGGCTTCTATTGTCACATCTGTACCTTATACATCTCCATACATAAAACAGTATTTTTAAAGAAGTTTAATTGTTCTTCGATGCAGCTAAAGGCATAATCCTGAGGAATAATTACACAAGAAACATTATACTTTTGATGAAATATTAAACTTGCATTTTATCTTAATGTCTACTTCAAAGACTATTTGACAGGAATAAATAAATGAGAGCTCCGTGGCAATAAGAGCTGTAACTCATGAAATATTTTATTCATTCATTTTCTTGAGAATACCACCAACATCCGGAGCTATGTAGTCCCATCTAACCATTACGCTTATACTCACTTAGAAAATTATATCAATAATAATGTAAAATAAATTACCTAACTTCTCTTCCCAGAGCATAGATTCCCATGTTCGTCAAAGCAACTATGTGTACAAACAGCACTGTAGTGTTTTTCATTAAGCCTTAAAGTCAATTAAGCTACGAATTGGAACAATCATTCCTCTTTTGCAAAATATTGATGTTTTTTCTTGGCGGCTTTCAGGCCTTTTCACTACTCAAGGAGAGATTTATGTTTGACAATTTCTTTCTGATTAAAATGAATCATAACTCCAGAATTCTAATTTCCTTTTTTTCTGAACAAGAAATTATCAAACAGTTTTAAATTGATATTGAATGTCATCGTGCATGAACAACATTCATTTTCAGGATATCAAATGTAAAGCTATAGTGATCTCTCTTTGTCTGCTCCTTTTACATTTTCTCTCTATGTATATAAAGAATATCAGATTGTACCAATATAATCAACTACACCTCTCTATAAAAATTATATTTGACAGACTGGCTAGACCAGTCACATTAAAACCTGTCACACTGCTTTACAAGAGGCAATTCCCTCTATCTGCAATATTACAGCAAATTCTGCTCTACTTGAGAAAGAAAATACCTGAAATACTGCAGGCTGCAAACAAATGTCATAGTTATCAAAAATAATTAGCAAGTTTGTAACAGCAATCCCTACCCAACTGGTTCAAGTTCTCTATAAAGCAGCTCTTTAGACAAACTGCTGAAAACAAACTTTTCTAGATTTGTCTCCAACAGCCAATTAAGATCAATACGAATTTGTTTTAAAATGTCTAGAATAGCAGCTCATCTGCCAAACCTTGTTTTCTCTGGTTATTCCTACTGTTTTGTAAAAGCCTTAACAAATGGACTTTTCATGCCATTTAGCTGTCTCAGTTTCTCTTTAGAAACTTGATTTTCAGCACTCAATAAAAGCAGACTATTCTGAAACTTTTTTTGCCTAATGACTTACTTAAAAGTACAACAGGGCCAAACAAGAAAATCTGCACTGCTGCAGACATGCATTTTATGGCACTCTAGGCTATGATCATGCAAATAAACTCACTAACAGAACCAGCTGGATTGTTTTCCTAAGTACTGTTATGTTTCCCAAATTTTATTTTTGAATACTGCACTACAGCAGAATAAAGACTTATAATTTCCCACATACATTTCAGACTTCAGTTTAATACAGACCAAGAATTAGGTAATTGTGACAACCTGAAGTAAAAGTAGCTATTTAAGTATTAACTGATTATTTTGTATTCCTCTAAAATAACCATAAATTTTTTGCACTTTTCACAATGATTTGCAAATGCTTCACATCAAACAAAGAGATGAAAAGTTTGAGTTTTAGAAGACACTGCCCCACATAAAAGGTATTGCAGAATATACGTTGCTTTTGGTTATGTGCATTTGCTATTATAAAACCACTAATTTCATTACCATAGAACATATATAACATTTAAGCACTCTAGAATTCAACTGGGAAACATTTGAATTCAATTGGCAAACATTTGAACTATTAAAAAAAAAGAAGAAAAAGAAAAGAAAAAGGAGAGATCATGTAAAGTTAAAAAAAAAAAAAAAACAAATAAGGACAAGCAGTTGAGGAGGAGGCATTTATCTACCTCAGAATTCCCAACCCATCGAAACACTGGATACAAAAGCAATTGATAGCGCAACTGAAAGATTCAGTTGCAAAAACATCCATGAGAAAACAAAGGAAGCAGGTCCCTCTGCCCAAATACTGACCACGGGAAGCTTGGTTAAGGTTGCACTTCTAAGAAATAGTTTAAAATTGAAAAGTAAAGATCAAGCGAACCAACCAATCTCTTTTATATCTTCATTATTTCTTGGAAAAGCAAAATAATTTAATTCTTGATGTTTAGAAGTTCTTTATAACAGGAAACAATAATCACAGCTACATATAAAGAATTCAGCCAAACTACATTCAGGAGGTATTGATATTTTTCTCAAACTCTAATTTTAACAGAGATTTTTTTTAATTAACAACTCTCTACTTTACAGTTATATATATATATCTATAATCCACAAAATGATTTTTGAATCAATATTTTATTATCAATCAAATTAATCTTTGTTTTCAGGAACTGACATTGGGGCAGGATTTTGTGTTTGTTTTCCTCAAGATTGCTTACAGTTTGATGCAAATTTTAAGCATCTTGTAATTCATCAACTAATTCTCTCCTGGTTACACACTCCAAGTAATTAAAGTTCAGTAATAACTTATTCTTTCTGCTCCAGCACCTGCATTTCATTTGTTTATTTCCCTAGAATCATAAATCTGAGGGACTGTCAAAGTGCCACAATATTAGTGCAATAATCAAAGTTAATTAGTCCCTCTCAATAAACAACAACAAAGCCATTACAAAGAGGCATTGAAGGTTTTCCAGCTACCCAGTTTACAGATGAGCTGCTTTTCTGAACAATTAGAATTTGAAAACTGTTCCTAAATAAACATAATGTTTCTGAAGTAATTTGAACTTCAGCGATCTTCACTCAATTACCAATTCATTAACTTTTGGTGAGATAATACAAGTACTAACACAAGTACTCCTGAATGCCCATTGCCTTCTAATGGATAAACCCAGTTTAGAAACAAGTAGGTGATGTAATATTTCTAAATAAAAACTAGTCAGCAATGCCTTATTTTACTCATGTAAAAATATCTATAAATATATATGTATACATATAAAATACTATTAAATGTACATGAATGTAAGTATATAGCTAGGTATGTTTCATATACATAGCTATATTTAGTTGCATTGGGACTAACATCATCTTAAGACAGAATATCGTCACATCCATCTCTGTTGCAAGAGGACATACAGACAAATTTTAAACAAGTCCTATCCCATGTTACTAAAAGAGAAACAGAAAGAGAACACCTTTAACGAAAGAAACGTGTTGTCAATGGTAAGGAGAGGAAAAAAGTCATTAAGTTCACCTGCAAAGATAGCTTAAATCTGAAGATGTTGTTACCTGAAGCTTGTTGTATCAGAAGTCAGCAGTGTTACGAGCATCACTTCTTCAGAAATAATGCTTGTAAATAAGCACTACATTTGTTTTTGACAAGTAAACATAATTATCTTCCCACTACTATGTAGATACACTAATATTACTGAATGCTTTCCCCTATCATCTGGGAGCAGTTGATATTTTCAAAGCCTAGGAACTAAGTTAAAATACTCATCACTAATTTTAAACAGAAAATAAAGAAGATTCCAATAATACGACCCTGTAGTTTATTATTCACGCAAAGAATATAGGTCCATGTCAACAGATCATCTCCTGGAAGTCAGTAGTCATAGCAAGCTTAGACAAAGCTTCCTGCAAGCCCTACTTGTAAATAAATGGCTGTAGGGGAAACAAGTTGAGAATGCTGCACGTCTTAGTAAGGGCCACAGAAGATCCAAAAAGACAGGGGGCATGGGGAGTTCGGAGCAAAAGAGGAGCAAGGAATACAGAATACAGAAGGAGTGTTTCTTTGCATGAGGAAGTAGAACAGAAACAGACATAGAAGAAACAAACAAGAAAAGCGTCAAGGCAGACTGCCTAGTAGCAATGGTGTTGAGGCTAAGAGATTGAAAAAAAAAAAGTTTAGCTTTTGGGGAGTTCGGAGCGAAAGAGGAGCAAGGCATACAGAAGGTGTGTTTCTTTGCATGACAAAGTAGAACAAAAAACAGACATAGAAGAAACAAACAAGAAAAGTGTCAAGGCAGACTGCCTAGTAGCAATGGCATTGAGGCTAAGAGATTGAAAAAAAAAAAGTTTTTAGCTTTGAAAGTTACATGAATGATCCCTTGAATTCTTACCTAGGGCAGAAACTACAGGCAAAGTAACAGGTGTAACTAATAGCTGGGGCTCTGCACTCCACTCATGCTTTCTGGTACTTAAGTTGTCCTGCCCTATTAGGGAACATGCTTTGGTTGTTCTTTCAGACTTACAAAACATTTACATATAACAGGTAACAGGATGTTAAGCCCTGCAATCCATAACATGGTTATAGAAAAGGAAATCTCTATTGATCTGATATAGTAGTGACTGAACAGAGCATTACCAAATAGAAGTTCCCCCCGCCTCAAATTCACATGCAGAAATAAAGTACTGCTTATACTATACAGAAGACTTCATGTTTGTGCTTTATTTTGAAACTAGAAAATACAGTGCCAAAATATTGGGCACTGTAGGTATTTACTTACCCATTCTGTAAGAATGCGTTGCACAGCATCATTGCCTCTTGACTTATTTCTGCAGGCCAGGATAACATAAGCCCCATGCAATGCAAGAGACTTTGCAGTTTCAAAACCTATGATAAAACATTTTGCTAGTCAGACATATACATCTTAATAACAAATCAGAGCTATAAAATTACCTGAAAAAGGAGCAAACACTTCAGCATCCTAATCTCATCTGCAATCTGACTACCTGCTTGCTAGTTGCTTGGACCTATCTTGGACATTCACATATGGAAAGAGATAGACCTCACTTTGAGCAGGTCTTTGAGTCAATAACTGTATTTTACGCAAAGCAAGCACAGAACCTTCAAAGGGCAGACTTCCATTTCTGTCTCAGTGCTTTTTTGTTTTACTGTAAAGAATAAGCCATGAACTGAGGTCATTGTAGACTTGTTATATCCACAGAACTGCACTGAATGCAACAGCATTGTAAAAATCCAAGCTCTGAGTAGGCAGCCTCTGCTCAATCTGAGGGCATCTGTGGCAGGAGATTCCATCCAGTGGGAAGTGAGGAAATAAGCAGAATCATTTGGAGATAATATTTTCAGACCCCAACACCATTCTACCTTTAGGACTGTTACACACAAGGAAGAGGGACTACAGACATAACCCAGCCTTAATCCACTATCATTAAGGAGTTATCAAACTAATTCTTAGAAAAGATAGGGAGACCATAGTCTATTATAGTACACATCATTATACATGCACTTGAAAACCTTTGCTAAACTGAGGAATTCAACTCATGTTTTTGTCCTATCAACTTGATATGGAGAACCACTTTTCATGACTATTCTCTTTATAAATAAATGATCAAGTACTAGAAGCCTTGCAAGTATTTTCAGTACATCTAATACAGTATCACAAGGCTAAATGGGTCATTGGATAAACTTGACAATCCAATGAAAGTGATAGATAGCTCACATTCTACTGCAGTTTAAATATACCATGAATCTATATCCCAGTTTTCTTTCATACAAACTTTCAGAGTTTTTTTTTGTTTTAAACAATACTGCTAATCAATTCTTTCCTATTCTGCATTTGGGCTCTTCAGTCGTCTTTTCTAAAAGGATGCTTTACTGAATTTTAACTTGTTAATTTTAGACCACATTGTAAAGCAATCCATTCAAATTATGAAGCGACTACCAAGCGCTACAACTCTCAACACCTTGACATCATTTGTAAGCTTTGTACATGTACCCGTTTCATTATTCAGCTCCTTAACAAAAAGCTGAATCAAAGTTGGCCCTAGATAAGCTCACTTAACTGAAAATGTCTACTGCAGTTTGAACTAGGAGATGATGAGTCTTTGGGAGAGCAGAACCCTTGTACCTTGACATCAGCATTAAATCAGAAATTTGATTTCTTTGGGGGCGAGCCACTATGCATTTGCAGTATATTCAGGATGAGCATTGGGCATCGTGCTCTTCCTCAAAGGAGAGCAGTAACCATGACAGACCAGATTCCATCCATGGAAAAACCGTTTCCATCCAGCTCAAAGAAGCATCATATAGCTTAATGAGTTCCAATTAGACAAGCTTAAACTAGAAATAAAGAATCAAATTGAAATACCCAACAATTGAGTACATGCAGAATAGGAAGAGGATATCTGTTCTAGTGCTATGACATTTCAAGCATGTTCATGTTTTCCTTTTAGAAACTGTTTGCCTAAAAAAAGCGTATTAAAATAGACTGTCTCACTTTCAAAAAACCCCGGAGCAACAAAATTCAGTTACAGCACGAGACCTAACTTACACTATAGAAACAACAGACACCAAGGCAAATTTATACCATTCTCTGCAATTGCATATTTATGGTATTTAAATCCAAGCAATTTTTTTTTCCAGACATTCATTGTACCAAGCTACTGTAATTACCTGAGTAATTCATTGCATGCACATGAATTCAGCTACAGCATATGCAAAGATTTCCCCTGTTCCTAATTCAACTTCAGATGTATTTAACCATGATTCTTCATACAATGAGTGTAAGACATGCTGCACCAGAGTGCTATTAGCTCGCTGTATGCATCTTGTTTTGTACAATAACACCTACACTTTTACCAGTCTATCATATTATTAAAGACTGGTTACAATCTCTGAAAATACCATTGTTTTTACTGGTATATACAGAGATACGGAGCTAATAATCAGTTTCATTAGTTAAATGTGACGACTTTTAGCTAACTCTACCCCACATTACACTGCATTATTGCGCAAGATAATGAACTCCACGTCCCCATCACTTACAGTCAATGACTTGATTCTTATTACCAAGAAGAGTGAGAAAAATTAAAAGCCAAACTAAGTAATTATATACTGCAAGTTTAAGGTATTTTAATACAACCTTGATTCTTCCCCACAAACTTGCTGACCTGCCTAAACACCTCCCTTCAGAGCTTACTATTCCCTGGGCTACCAAAGGATTATTTTTACAGCTATAGGCAGAATCCTGCCACAAAACTGTGCTCCAAAAAGGCTGCAGTTCAAGGCAAAGAGGTTTACACAGTGAATGCTTCACATGGCTCAGTTTAAATACACCTACCAACTGGCTCAGCAACACAGAGTGTAACATTTGTGTTTTGTGGACATAGCTACATCTTTATAGGCCTTAAATCCTGATAAGCAGCACAATTAAGGACTTTCACAGTATAATAAACAACTAAGTGAGAGCTTAGAAGATTTTCAAATTGTAAAACCCAAATTAGGAGTTAGAAGTTATCTACAAAAACTAATACTTCTTTCCTCTTCCATTCAGAGGAAACAGCAGGGAGGGAAAGACTGCAGTACAGTTGAAGAAATTGCTAAAGGTTTTAGCAATAAGTTTTGCCTTTGAACAAAGTATTTCAATGTTTTCGATATATAGTTAATTTTGAAGTCTCACCATCATTTAAGGATCAAGCATTCTCACTACAAAGTTATTGATCTCTAAAGAAAAATCTCTATGTAAACACAATACTGAATCGAAATCCACATAGAACATGGTTCCACACACCAAAGTTCGACAACACACACAAAAAAACAGCATTGCTAGTGCTCAAGCATCCTGTCCAGTAGTCACTTATAAAGACTGATACACCCCTCCCAAACGTCATGGAATAACATGCTCAAATACATACTTTGGAAAAACTACCATACTACATACCTCTAAAACTGTTCAAGGGAATTAACCACTTCAGCAATTGGTTTGAAGAAGACACTGTAGAATCCATTTGAAAACACACTCCCCCACGCCTCTAATACAGAACACATCAGGCACATACATGCACATATTTTACTTCTTACACACGCATAAATATAATTTACTTCTCTTTATTCCAAAGGCAGGTAAGAATTTGAACACCAAAAAATAAATTCAAAAAGTTTTCAGAGTTCTTTTTTCCATCTTCTTTTGAATTGCAGCAATGCCATCTTTCTTTTCAAGAGCTTAGGCCTCAATTTAAAAGCCTCTAGTTTCTTCAAAATCATTTCTTTCCTTCTCTCCACATATAGAAAAGCTTTAGAGACAGCAATTTTCTAAAGTTTCTTCATATATGCTTCAGTAACGTAAAGTCACCATGAGTCCAGCCATCCTTGAGCTCTACATCACAGGCAATGTAAACCTAAACTAAAGGGAAACCAGAAGAAAAACTTGTCTGTGCACTACAGTAAACAAAAAAACAAAACAAAACAAAAAAAATCAAATAAGTTAACAAAAGCGCTCTAAGTAACTAGAAGTGAAAAGCATTACTTTATTTGTGTTGAGGCTTTCTGACCTTTCATACACCAACAGATGATTTACAAATTTTGGAATAGCAGAAACACCCTGATTTTTAAGCATAGAAAACAAAAGTCAAGAGAACTTTGCTCTACACAAGTAATACAGAAGAGAACATAACAGGGATGCTATTTCCTTGGGTTTTCTGGTCTTTGCTCCAAGTTCTTTTCAGAAAAAGAATTATGTCTCTGACACTTCCATTCAAATTCAGTATAGATAAGAATATAGTGCTTAATACTTTTTCTCCAAAAGACCTTAAAATTGAAGAAAATCTCTTATTCTGTTTGGCCAGTGTGTTTTTTACACCAGAAATCCAACACCTTGCCTAAGAAATCTCCCTACAGTATGGAGAAAACCAAGAAAACCTCAACAGTTTTAAGTCATCAAACAGTATGGATGCAGAAGTTTCTAAAGCCTTTTGGTCTTTAAACACTTAACATTCTGGTAAGGCACCAACAGTATTATTAAGCAAACAGTATATCTGCAATATATAACCACCACCCACTGAAGGCATTTGATTACTTCTGCATTAGAGAAAAAACACACAGAAATAACAAAATCTTTAGGTGAAAGTGTTACTCCTTTCAAAAACCTTTGTTTTGAAAGGAAACCTTTACAGAACACGTGTTTTTCTTCTACCAAAAGCAGATCAGGTTTTAGTTTCAGGATACAGGGGGGAAGCTTTAAGGGCAGAACCCTTCTACAATATATACTACCTTAATATTTTCAAAAAATGTAACATGCAATATAAATGAAAAGTAATTTAAATACAATTTTACTGCAGATCAGAGTGAATTGTGAGAGGTTAAACACTTGCTCAACAACTTGCAACAAATCACCTTTATAATCCAAAACAGGCTTTCATCCCCACTACTGATATCTAGTCTTTTTGCTTAGGTATTTTTTGACTTTTAGGACCTAATCAAGAGCACTACAGAGAAATGGTAAAGTGTTATATGCATCCCTAGATCCATTTTAATAGGAAAGAACTAAGCACCAGTGACAATGAATCAAACCTTTTCATCCAACTATTATCTGAAAAAAGGAAGAAAGATTTAAATGCTGTTAAAAAAAAATAAGAAGCAATGAAGAATTTGGAGTTACATAAGCTTATTTTGGGGTTGATTATTGTAAGAGTAATACATTTAGGGAAAAATAATTTTGTAACTAAGATTTTTTTTTTTTTGCTTGTGCTACATCATTCAATACATCTTCCATTTCAAGTGCTTACACTCATAAGCAAGTCAAAAACTGTCTATGTTTTGAGTGAGAACTTTTTAATGTATTTAGAGTACACTAAAGAGATAAGAGGCTAAAA